AGGATGTGACAAATCTCCTGCCTCAACAGGACCATGTGAATTTTCCATGCCACGTGTTTGCCGTGGAATGTTTTACATGTGATTATTTTTTGTGTTCCTTGTGCTGTACTTTTAAGGTGTGTGTTATGTTTGGAAGTTGATGTTTCTTTCAATCATTTTGCTTAAACAGGGGAAAATCAGACAATCGAATGGGCTATGCGTCTCAGGGTTGCATTCTATATCGCGGAAGCTTTGGAATATTGTAGCAACGAGGGACGCCCATTGTATCATGATCTCAACGCATATAGAGTCCTTTTTGATGAGGTGTTGTATCTGTTTTTCCCCATTTCATAATTAATTTTTCCTAAGTGTCTTCAGATATTTCTCCACATCATGCTATCATAGTTCAATGATTATGTTTACATGTTTGTGTTATATGCAAAAATTACAAGAATATGTGTATAGTTTACTACTTACTGTCACATCTTGTGTATGCATTGTAATTAATGTTTGTGACAAAAAAATTGACTTGAAATATTTTCTTGTATGGACTAGGTTCAGTTTTTGTAATCCTGCAATAACTTAGGTTTTGTATTTGCTCCGTTCTTTTTCTTCTGTTTTTTGGTTAGGGTCCTCTCTATTTGGTCCAAGGGTACTGGTGATTCTGGAGTTACAGTTGTACTGAGCCTCTTGTCCTCTACATATGCTCAACATAGTGAATCATTTCCATCTTTGCTTGTGGATGTAGGTTTGTGAGCCTATCCACACAGATTTTATGTGCATTTCTTTCCTACTATTTCTGTCTTGTCTTTTCTTTACTTTTTTCATACTAGCTAATAGTATCCTCAAAAAACAGATATACCTTCCACTGAATTGATCTATCTGTTGGTGCTTCGGTTGAAAATATTTGGGAACGGTGATATGCACTGTAATATGGGTGTCAGAAAGTGCATGCCTTAGAACAATTACCTTAATTTGAGTTATGAAAGTTCATTATTTTTCTAGAGCTTTAATAAGAAATGTTGATTTCCAGTATTTTTCTGGGAAACATGTCTATTTTGTCAACATAACTATGCAATGATGACTTTTCTTATATCAAAATGGTGCTCAAGTTTTTCTGTGTGTTTGCAGGATGGTGATCCACGTCTTTCTTGTTTTGGTCTAATGAAAAACAGTCGGGATGGAAAAAGTTATAGCACAAACCTAGCTTATACACCACCAGAGTATTTGAGAAATGGTATCTTCTTATGCTGCTAAAGAGAATTATTTGTTTCTTTTGAGTTTTGGGTATTTAGCATATCAGTTTAATTGAAGTGTATATATCTGTGCATGGTGAAAATTTTGCTGCAGTTATGCTTGCTGCTTCTCATGGCTTCTGCCCCATAAAGAATCATTAGTGTGTAATTGCCTTAAGAAAGTTCATGCACTCAGAGAAATATTGTTACATATGTTGGAATTTACTAACTGCCAATCGATATGTTGGAAGGTGATGCAATTTAAAAGTCGAGAGGAAAAGGAAATTAGACTGCTGGTACTAATGGGTGTGGGAGAATAAGAGAGTTCTGTATCAATTAATAAGACTAGGAAAACATATTCATGAGTCCTAATGATCTTGAAGTAATCTCATGAGGGTCAAGATGCTAAGAAACTTTAAGACAAGACGACCATAGATCTTCACTTGTGTGTTTCTTTGATCTTTTAGTAATAAGGTTAGAGATCCTAGTGGAGATGGATGAGACTGACCAAATCAAGTTTAAGATTATTTTATAGGTATAGGGTAAGTAAACTATGTTGCTGGGATTACTGAAAAGAGACCAGAACTCAAATCTTCACATACAGAAAAGCTCTATAATGCATGCAAAATTGTTAAAAAGTTGACTAGATTGCTAAGAATCATGAAGTATCAGAACCTTAATTTTGATCTTGTTCAAGAAGATCTAAAAATGCATGGCAAAACTTTGATTTTCTGTTAAAAGTACAACTAATTCAACATACATTGAGGCATTTTGGAATAAGATAAATTAAGCAGATATGAATATGGTTGTAGGTGTGTCTTAAAAGAAGTGTTAGTGTTCAAAAATATAAAGGTAAGAAGTGCCTAGGTAGAGTTTTCTTCTTCTCCTTTCTCCTCTCCTTTTCTTCTATTTTTCCTCTTATCTTATCCTTTTTACTTCTAGTCTTCTTCTCTTAGTGGATGGATGTTATCATCAGTTAAAATATGGCTTAGATAGGATCCTTAACTGCAAGTTTCCGATTTCCGACCTTGTTAGATCCCTTAGCATCTCTCTCTCTCTCTCTCTCTCTCTCTCTCTCTCTCTCTCACACACACACACACACACACACACATCTGTGTGTCTGTATCACTTATGGTGCAGTGGCAACAATGGTGGCATGCCACAGCAGCAGCAGGTGACTGGACTGACATGGACTGTGGCGCATCAGAAGGCTAACAGTTTTCTGATAGCTTGTAGTCCTCACCTCAGTCTCCTTCTCTCTCTCTCTCTCTCACACACACACACACACACACACACACACATCTGTGTGTCTGTATCACTTATGGTGCAGTGGCAACAATGGTGGCATGCCACAGCAGCAGCAGGTGACTGGACTGACATGGACTGTGGCGCATCAGAAGGCTAACTAGCTTGTAGTCCTCACCTCAGTCTCCTTCATCTGTGTGTCTGTATCACTTATGGTGCAGTGGCAACAATGGTGGCATGCCACAGCAGCAGCAGGTGACTGGACTGACATGGACTGTGGCGCATCAGAAGGCTAACAGTTTTCTGATAGCTTGTAGTCCTCACCTCAGTCTCCTTCTCTTGTTGTGCCTGTTACCACTGCTCTTCTTTTTCTCCAACCAAGTGCATTGTTGGAGATACCATGATTTGTGACTCAACATGGCAGGAATTGCAACACCTACAGGTTTTTATTTCTGTATCATTCTTGGCCAAGAACATGCTTCCAGCCACTAAACTCAACCCCTTTAAGTAAATCCTGAAGAACCAGAATTTGTATGAATTAGCAGTTTAATATTTACATGCTCTTCGAACACAGTTAGTATTATAGTGTTCAACAATATCAAATATGTTTTGATGTCTGTTTAATCCAGCGAACAGGTTGTTTTATGGTATTGTTTGGAAGTTACTGGTATTTAATACTGAAGCTTTTTTTGTCAAATACTGAATTGAATATCGCAATGTCAATCCGTAAACAATCAAAATTTTGGTTCTACAGGGAGGGTGACACCAGAAAGTGTGATATTTAGCTTTGGTACTGTCCTCTTGGATCTTCTCAGTGGAAAGCGCATTCCCCCAACTCATGTAAGTATTCTGACTAAGGAAATTTATGAAGAAAAACCCCTTGTTTTCAGAAATGAAAAACAGGCTTCCAGTTTTAAACGTTTGTTTTGTTCAATCTCATATTTACCCTTGCTCTTTTGAGTCATATCAAGGAAAGAGGAAAAGACTAAAGAGAATTGCAGGTAACCAATTAAGAAACACAAAAAAAGTAAAACAAGCGTAGCATCGGAAGATCACTCAAAATGCGGCACTCTTTGTTATTTTCTGAGAATTTGGTTCCCTTTTTGGTCATTCTGAAAATAGGGCCTTTTGTCAGCAAAATATCCTTAGGCCTTCAGTTATTCTTGATTTGCATCGTGAATATAATAGTGGAGATATAATTAGAAATCCATAGATATTGCATTTTGTGAAATATTACAATAAACCTAAAAAAACTGGCCAGCTTTAGTTTTGTTGAGTTTATGGCTTGGTTGGCCACCAGAGTTAGAAATTAAAGATCCAAGGTTGACAAGGAGTCCACCGTATACAATGGGCTATAATAAGAAACTCATGTAACTAAACCAGAGAGAACTTGGTTGTTCCTGAACTTTGCATGTTATTTATGGCACCATGATAATTAAATTAATGTATGAAAGTTCCCTCAAGCTTTGAGAAACTATAAGGGAACATTTGGACAAATGGGAAAAACCTTAGGGCAGGTAGTGCGTTTAGTAACCATGCTGATCCTATGATACTTACATGTAGGACATGCAACAATTCATGTGCGTGCCAACATAGCACTTGGATTGTATGGTTCTCTTGCCAATTGGCACACTGTACTGAGATGTTATCTGTAAGAGGTCATGCCACTAAGCTGAAATACCTTTGGCAATATGTTCTCATTTGCTTTTATCAACATTCATTTTATTGCACACAGCAGTCACTCCTAATCATTTACTGACATTCATTTCTTGCTTGCAGGCTCTTGACATGATAAGAGGGAAAAATAGTTTGGTATTGATGGATTCACACCTGGAGGGGAATTTCTCTACAGAAGAGGCAACTACACTAGTTGACCTTGCTTCTCAGTGCTTGCAATATGAACCTAGGGATCGGCCCAACACAAAGAAGCTGGTTGCTACTCTTGCATCATTGCAAATCAAATTAGAGGTAATCCATTGATTTGGCTATTTGTAGATTCCCTGTATATGGCTTAGGAAACATAATTTGCTGCCTGGTAAGAGTGACTGAGATGCCACTGTTTATCTTTTGTCTAGTAAGTGTAAACTAAAATTTTGATTAAGCATGGCGTGAGATTCCAATATTTAGTTTGCTGTCCAGTAATTGTTATTGGAAAATTACATTAACAAGGATGCAGATACCATCATGACAATTATTTTAATATTAAACTAAAGGGGGTAAGATATTGTGTTAAAAAGGCATTAAGTCAAATATGCCTTTGCGTGGTTACCAGATGGATCTCTGGATATTGGCTTTCTTACGAGTCAAGTAATTTTCTTGGGTTTGGCATTAGACGTGCATCATTTTACCCATCATATCAATATGTGGTTATAATGCTTGCATTTTGGTGAATCTATTCAAGCTTTGTATGTTATTAATAACCCTTGTAGACAAGTTAGTACTAGTTTTACCAAGTTTGCAGATATCAGACAAGTAGTTCTCTCATCAAATTTGCAGAAATGAAACTACCTTCAAATCTTTGACATTCTCTTGTAAGCACAAATCATTGAAGTTTGCAGTTCCCTTGAATTATGAAACTCGAGGAAAAGGTGAGAAAATATTGAGTTGTATTCAGTGAGTGGGGCAAGTTCCCCTCTATTCAATTAGAATAGGAAGCCCTAGTATCTGTGAATCCTATACATATATACATATATACATGTACACATTATACGTATGTTTAGGCATAGTAACTCTTAACACCATATATGTCAGGGTGGTTCAATCCACGAGAGTTTGTGGTCCTTTTGTGCAATTCCAGGCCTTGAAAATAGTGACTTAACAAACTCATTCCATAGTGCAAACGTGAACCTCCTTGCTCTTGTTCACCAGTTGCAACAAGGAGGCAATTTCTAAGAGGAAAAACAGGTTTCGACATTTTATTGCTAATAATTATCACTTGATTCATAGGGCATTAAATCTCATTTCATGATCAACTGGCAATGTGTCTGTATTGGACATGTAAGCACCCTGTTCCAAGTCGCGTTGTCCTTTATCAGGTGAACATTTTGATATGATTGGCTTTCCATTGGGTTAATCTTGTTCAGGTTCTTTTTCTTTCTCCTTTCAATAGTAAATTGAAGAATGATAAGTGTATGGTGAATCTGTAATATAGATTTTCTCTCTATTTTTTCTGAATATGTAGTCTAAGACATTTGTTCAGCACTAACTTAATATGCAGACAAGATTTCGACAGCCGGTGTTATAACTGTCACTGAAAATAAATTTCATTGGTCACAGGGTTAGAAGTGCTTTGTTCTTAGGTTCCTGTAAATGTTAACTAAGTGATCTTACTGGAAACATATGAAGTATACAAACTGGTGAAAATTGCATGTTAATCTTTTGTCCTAATTTTTCCTCTGGTGTTGTTTAAGTTGATAATTTAAATAGTTGTTCATGTTAAAATTTTAATTTCAAATACAAACTTATAGTGTGATTATCCCCTAAAATTTGGTAAACAATTTTATGATCGGTGCAGTCATCAAGAAATAAAGTGAAACAATATCGAAGTTATGACACCAACTGTGATTGTCATTAAAGGAACTACTGTGCTTGATCTGACTACCAAATGTTTATACCTTATAGGCTTATACTACCTAGAATTTTATGCTACCTATGGTAATACTTGATAGAATTGCTTGAATGATATTGCTTTTTAATTTTTTCAACATTGGTGGAACAGTGCCCTGTGTTCGATCTGTTACAAGGGTTTATTAGAAGTCATGAATGAAAGAGGCAAAGTATATTCCAGCTGATGGTCCTCTAGACATCTATCTGTAGCTAACAGATACAAAATATCAACGTCAGTGCCCCACATCTTGGATGGCAGTGAATCTTTCTCCCTCATGGGTGGGGGAGATCCCCATGTTGTATTGGTCCTGTGTCCTTTTGACAAAAACAAGAATTTATAGTACGTCATTACTAAAACAGTCTTCAGCTGCATCATTATTCACTATCTTGAATTATGGCATTATAGTTTTCAAAATTTAGAAAATATGCTTGAGATGCTCTATTATTTATCAATTTTCTTAATTAACAACTATTTCTTAGTGTATATGCATACATTTCTACTTTCGTCACCATGAAGTGCACATATTGTAGTCATGCTTTTCATGTGCATCTTTTGCATCCAGTGATATTGTCCGATTACAGGAGCCGTCTTATGTTATGCTGGGAATACAAAAGCCTGAGGAAGCACCTGCCACACCACCCCACCCACTTTCCCCTATGGGAGAAGCTTGCTCCAGAATGGACCTCACTGCCATCCATCAGATTTTAGTAATGACACACTACAGAGATGATGAAGGAACTAATGAGGTATATACGTGGCTCTTTTAATTAGATGTGCTCTCTGGTTGAATTTTCCCACTGTTGACAGCGTAGTCTGCTTCAAATTCGGAAAATATATTTTCTATTTCTTTTGCATCAGTTATCATTCCAAGAGTGGACGCAACAGATGAGGGATATACTGGATGCCAGAAAGAGGGGGGACTTTGCCTTTCGTGATAAAGATTTTAAGACGGCTATTGAGTGTTACTCTCAGGTACCGTACGTGACTATAAAAAGATTGTTCAGCTGTGTCATATGTGGTTCATAAAAGTTTCGAATCTCATTCTTGGATCACTAATGCTTCAAGTCTTTACCCAACACCAAACATTTGACCTGCCGAAACTGTAATGTGCTATTGACATGGCATTTTGCATGTCATTGATGAGAGTTAGCAATCATTGTCGTACCTCCCTGTTTTGCTTGTGCAGTTCTTAGATGTTGGAACTATGGTCTCACCTACGATATATGCAAGACGAAGCCTGTGTCATCTCATGTGCGATCAACCTGATGCTGCACTGAGGGATGCAATGCAAGCACAATGTGTCTATCCAGATTGGCCGACAGCATTCTACATGCAAGCAGTTGCTCTGGCCAAGCTAGACATGCAGAGCGACGCCGCCGACATGCTGCATGAAGCCACGATGCTCGAAGAGAAGAGGCAAAAAGGTGGGAAAGGTCCCTAAGAACGACAGTTCCATCTCTTCCACTGACCTTTTTGTCGACGAGAGTTGTTGCGTCAATGTATTATCCCAAGTTTCGCTCTCTGATGACATCGATCCATTTGGTGTGCCATTTCTCTTGTATCTTTCGGCACAATGTACATGCGGATTCGGCTTAAAGTAGACTGCAATGTTTGTTTTAGGCAGTTTCTGTTTGTTCTATCATGGGAATTACCTCAAAGATGTTTCATTGCAGCTTGTGAGCATATTTTCTCTAAGGCATGATCCTGAAATATCCTATCGCATCACATATGAAAGATCGACATGACTCGGTGTGGAACTCGGAAACCCATGAATCAAAGATTTATGCGGTATTAGGTTAAAAAAAGACCTAAGTCAACCAAAGTCAATAGGTTAAAAGATATTGGGTCAATAAACCAAATATAAAAATAAGCAAATATAACAGGATTAACATTCAACCTTAAGTTTAATTACTTGTTATTATAAATTCGAAAATCAACAGAAAATTTTCGATATCATTAAACTATGAATCTCTTGCAGGATACCTTTAAAAAAAAAATCATGAATACAAAAGTTTGGAATAATTCATATAATACAACATAAAAACTATTAAATACATAAAATATTGAGAAAAGCTACCTCTTAGCCTATTGGAGATATTATCTTTAAGGATAATTTTTTATAATTAAAATATTAACATTAAATCTATGAAACTCTTTAATGAAAATATTATCATGAAACTTAATTTTTGAAATAAAATATTACTATAAAAAATCGGGTGTTAAAAGTTTGGATGTCAAATATTCTTCCAAGAATTAAAGTGTTTCTGTAATAATTGTCTTTTCTATTATATTATATGGGAAACAACGAATCACAAAATTAACAGAGATTTATCATAGGCGATGCTTCTACATCTGTACCTGGAAACATGTCTTCCTCACCCTCTGCTTCATTCCTATTCGCCATGCTCAACTTGGGATTCTAAGGACAACAAAGAACGATAAAAAAATATCAACTAGTAAGATCAAAAACTAGTTTTTAAATGATATTTTTGATCGATAGACTTTTATCTACAAATGAAATTTCAATATTTTTAATAAAGATTGTAATATTCAAATCTTTTTAATAAAGATACTGTTTATTATTAGAAAAACTTCTTTTTTCCTTTTGTCTCTTTGCTATGATGTTAAATAAGTCTAAGAGGAAAAACCAAGAACATTAATTTCCTTTTCCTTTTTTAGGTAAACAATATCACTTAAAAATATTTTTTAGAAAAAAAGTAAAGACTCAGATAAAACTAATAAAAATAAAAATTTATTTAATCATCCAATAAGTATTATTTTGTTGTGTTGTTAATTAGTCGAAAGATCATTAGTCGATTTTATACTTATGAACTCTAGGACACCATTACTAATCCTAAAAGGAGGATGAGCTTAGAATTAGAGATCGTAGGGTGGCTTGGAAATCTATTTAGACTAAACGCTTTGACTCCCATTCTTAGTTAGAACAAATGACTGTTCTTCGACTCAGAACAATCTCTGTGACCTATTGAGAGATAACCCATGATGGCTTCAAGAAGTATATTAATAGGCAAAGAGCTTAATTCACTTGTTTGGAATGAGACTTGGATTGATCCAATCACTTTCAGTCACCATCATACTTTTGTTAACATTAATAGTTTCAATTTCTTTACAACTGTTGTTTGAGAGTTTATTGATTTGAATGGATGAAATGTGCCACTACTAAATTCTGTCTTTCACCACTACTTGGTAGGATTCGAAGAATTCATATGCCAAGTGCTCTAGTGGTGATCAGTGAGTTTGGGTCTCAACTCCAAATGGACAAACCTCTGTCAAGAGCATTCAGCTATCTTTATTTTGCCACTCGGCAAATAGATTGAAGCAATTAATACAAAGTTCAGTTAAAAAACAGAAGAAATTCATTGGATAAACCACACACCAAGAACAACACAATTATTATTGTTCCAATTTCTGCAACTTCTGTTGCACCCAATACTGGATTCCTCCTCATACACCCAATATAATCTGGCCATTTTGAAGTCAGGATTTGCTTCTAGATTCGGCCCCTGGAAATTGGCACTAGAGACTAGCGTTCAACAAAAAGAGTGCTGGTTCTGCTTTTGCCGCGCAGCCATATTTGAAAGTGCTGTATTTTCTATGTACCCCTGTCAGCTTCCCAACTCCAGCCTTGTGGTGGAAATCCACCATCAACCTCGAGCACTCACTGGGACACAATCATCAACATATGCAATAAACATGTTAGTACTCGAATCATATCATTGTTTATGAGAGATCAAGGAACAGATGGGGGGAACTCACAGGAGCTGGTCCTCTGAGTAGGTAGTGTGCAACTCGCAAGTTTTCGTCCAGTATCTGAACCCTCTGAGCGAACATTGGGCGGTATAGATTGCAGCAGCAGCCAGCAAAGAAGGGCGGAACTCCAGCATTTTGTACTCGACCAGACAAAGCTCAATGATGAAAAATGAAAGAAGCTCTAGCTGGTTTTGTACAGCAGGCAGTTTATATTCCCATCAGAACTATGTCATTCCTATGCTTCTATATTTCTTTAGTCCTAAAATAAAAGAGAGATTTCACCTTTTTATCAGAGTCAGCTGCCTTGAGAAACCTTCTCATGAAAACATAAGGAGTTGCCACAGACATGTTAAATTGCAAAGTGTTGATGATTAGCCTTTCCTGCTTGCAAAGATTAAATTGCATTAAACATCATATATAAGAAACAAGATGAAGGAAGAACAGGAATTTCCATGAGAACAATAACAGCAATCGTATGGTTAGTAAGAACAGCTCACAAGTTTGGAATGTAACCGGACATTATGTTTTCAGATTGTGGAGTGAATCATCTAAAGGGCCTAACTTGCTAGGAAACCCCATGCAGCTCATCTTTTCGTTGAGTTTTGTCTAGACAACCTTTTAATCGCAAATAAATCAAGAAATTTTCTTCAGCAATCAGCCTCAGAAACACAAAGGGCTTACCATTTCAAGAAGTTCTTCCTTGGTGTATGCTCGGTCACAAATGAGGATTAGATCCTCTACCACGGGAACAGATACTTCCTCGTACTTGCAAGCAAGAAACATGGCTGTAACTCCAACCAACTGAAGCTTCTTCCTCACCACCGTTTGGCTTGCCAAGAATCTATCTATGATGTTTGCAGTTAGAAAAAGAGTCTCATCCATCAACTCGAATTTGTAGTGCACCTGAAAGGGAAAGTTTCAAAAGTAATCATATACAATGCACGGAAAAAATGGAAGATGAATGGTAATTATTCCTGAAGATTAACATATGGCTGGAAAGTCATGGCCACCTCTATAAGCCAGTCAATGAGAATAGCTCTCATTTTTTCGTTGATGTCAAATTGGTGGGGCATGTAATCAGGCCTTACGCAACTTGTAACCTGCACAATGATTCATCCATTACATTTCAGGTGAAGGCAAACAAGCTGATGAAGGAGCATTACATGTTTCTTCATTTTAAGCAATAACCTAGAATGGTGTTACAATCCTTCTGTAGCAAATACTCCTTCAATTAGTATTTTTTTTTTGTGTGAGAAAAGCTAGAATTTTCTGTCTTAATCCAGCTATAGAAGATGTATGATATATAGGACGGATGAACAAGATCAAATAAGCAATGCAAGTAAATCTTTTATTATCGAATGGTAAATGCTCACCTCAGTTTTTCTATAGAATGTGTATATATCTTCTACATATTCCACGACTGCAAGTGGGTTATCCAAATCACAGCCATCAATATCCGGAATGGTCTCGATGACAAGATCCTCCATTTCAACTTCCCTGAGATTAGAGTTATCCTGCAACATTTATGACAATTAGAATGGCACATAAATGAAGGAAATCTACCAACTGCATTATAACTCGAACAGACCATTTCTTCCTTCTCTTCTACCATGGGCGACGCTATGTCATTACTCAAACTATAATCATCCACATCGACCGCAGAAGAACTATCCGGACAACTTGAACTCGACATCGATGGTGCCGGCGGCTTGCAATGGCTCTCATTCCCAAATCGATCATGCTGTGCGCTGGATCCCTAAACAAGACTAAGACCTCAGTAAAAGAGCAATCATGGATTACTTGATGATGTAATTTCATGAATAATACCTGCTGATCGGGCTGTGATTTGCTGGCGACGGTAGCTGCAAAGTTTCTATAGAATCGACCGATCAACCAGTTAGACCTAGACAAGGAACCACAAGAGGATGGAAAAGGAAAATGAAGATTGGTTTCAGACCAACCTCGTCACCGGCAGTCGAGCTACGAACGTTGGATTCTTGTCATCTGAACTACCATTGCTGTTCAAGGAAAAGATCGTAGGAGAAATTAGGTCGGGAGGGGATAACAATCATCCAAAGAAAAGACCAATTTTTTATGCATTACTCTGTCAATCCCGTCTTTTTGACGGCGCAAGCATATGACGGCGCTCCCACCAAATTCCTAATATCCCTCAATGCTCTTCGATCGCCCATATCTGCGACGACAGGGAAAAGGAAGAATTCAGTCTTCTTCGGCTAAAATTTCGAAACCCAGCATCAGAATATCGAGCTCATCGATCCAAAGAACCCAAGTTTATTTCTAGGAAGAACCTCGGAAAGTCGCTGGTTTCATCGTGCCCCAGCTGTTCTCATCGACTCTTTCCATTTCCCCTCACCTAGAAATCAAAGTTAAAAATTGATCTTCCAAGAACCAGCAAAATCAACACCAATAAACGGATCGACACCTCCAAATTCCCCTCCTACCGCCGCTGGGTGGATTAGAATTCGACTTTTCCAAATGCCACCCTCAGCTCCCCGCGAGTTGCGATCGGGGGGCGTGGGCATGAATCAAGCTGCGTTCCCCCGTGAATCAAGCAGATCGATGCGGATTTAATGATTCTCTCTCTTCGGTGGGGTTTGGAAGGGATTAAAGAGAGGGGATGAGAAGAAAAAAGAGGAAGGAAAAGAAAAGTATTTTTCGCACGGCAACAACGGGTCGGTGTCCGTAGACGCTTCACCCGTGACGTCCAAACCAACGGCTAGTGAATCATGACCGTCAGATCCTATCTGGACGACGAGGACCCACGAAGCCGAGCCCAACGGTCACCCTCGGTTTCGAATTCTCTCGGGTTCGTCCCACTCGGCGTTTCTTCAATGCGTTCCGACAGGGGAAATCGCGGGTCCATCCGACGGTCGTCCTCGGTGGTCCCGTCGGATCGCGATCTGATAGCCGTCGGATCCTCCGATCGGGTGACGAAGGATGCCACGTGATCGCTGGCGTGAGACAGTGAGAGGCTGTCACTCACTGGATTCTGTGAATTCTATATTAGCATGAAAGCCGAGGGATCAGCAGCAGGCGTTTGCAGCGGCATCTTTGCTTCAGAGCTTTGACTAATGGAACAAGATGGTGTGATTTGAACGTCTCGGTCCTTCGCGTACGTTGGAGAGCTAATAATAAATGAGAATTGACAGACTTGCTTTGCTTCTTCTCTTCGAAAATGCACTGAAGATGGAGGTACTTTCAAGAACAATAAATCTGGTTCTGGAGTGCATGGTAGGTGTTCGACGAGTGAACTCAGCTAGCAATCTACGGATGTGCACACCTTCGTTAAATGTTCACATTAACGAAGTGTGAGAGAACGGAAAGACGCTTTCGAATGTTCAGAAAGTAGCAGCGTGAGGAGCCTATGTTCCCTGCACAGAGTACATAGCTTTTCTCTCTTGCAATGTTTATGATGACTCACTGTGCACAGACACATGCTGTTCTCTCTGTTCATCCACTTTACTTTGCATGATAACTTTTACAAGCACGAAGCATATGATTCTTCTGTTCATCCACTTTACTTTGTCTTCTTCCCCCGTCTTCTCACCCACCCAGCATCTGCAAAACCAAGCAAGGAGTTGCTCACTTGATTCAGAGAAAGAGAAGAATATATCTGATATCTTTTTTGCTGAACATGATCAGCTTAGATTGCCTTCAGATGGTAATAAGCTTCTTCAGACACCACAGCCACCTCCATGATGCATTAAGCCTGTCAAAGATTTCCCTTACTGACTTGACTAGTGATCTTGTAATTTGACTGAGGACTTGCTGCTTCTCTTGGCTTCTTTGTTTCCACTGCAGTTTGGACAAGACTGCAGTTAATTGTAGCATTTAAGACACATCTGACTACATTTATAGCAGTTCTGGTTTAATAATGTGATGACAACTTATTTCATGTGCTTTTAATATGATATACAACTCAATCAAAGCATATCTTATTGATTGCTAAAGACATTCTTTGGTATTTCTTATATTAATCCTATGTTATATCTTATATATATTTTTTAAATATATGATTTGACTAATTGATCCATCACTTCAATTATTGATGGGCTTTATTTTCTTTTCTGTAAAGGATAAATAATGAATACCAGTTTTGATCTCAGAACATTCTCACCTTTATATTTTGATTTTGGTAATAAGTTAAGCCATTTATTAAACCAATGTTAAATGGAATTGTGGGAAGGTGATAGGGGTATTTGGGTCATTTAATTACAAGGCTAATATATTTCTTTGAAACCGTCCATCCATTTCTTTTTAATCTCAACCGTCCGATTGATTGATAAAAGAGATGACATAAAACGATTCGATCAAATCAGGTGGACGGTCAAGATTAAATGAAAAACATGAGATGGACGGTCTACGTAGGGGTCGATATAATTTTCACACCCAATTCAGTCGTCTTCCTGTGTGCGACCTGTTCATCTTCTCGATTGCCATCGTCTCCGTATAAGGATCGAACAAGGAAGACCGTTGAAGCCTTGTGCGCGGTGCATGCTCTCCGTCGCGGTTCGCTGGCCGTGCCCATCGCGAAGCCCGCGCACTCAGATTCCTCCCTCCATCTCCACCTCCACCACGCCCTCCCGTTCCGCCTCCCCTGCCCCTATTTATACCCCCTTCTTCCCCCGCCACACCGCTCGCTTTCCCGGCCTCCTCTTGTGCAGCCCCCGCCGCCCCATCGGCCCCGCTTCTTCTCGCCCTCGAGGTAAAAGAAAGAACAAAGGCCCGTTGTTCTGTTTTCTCTTTAGTCATGATATGCCGCGAGGGCAAATTGGAGGCTTTGGTTAACATTCTTCTCATTGATATGTGTGAGCGCATTAAATGGTATTTACAGTTTGAGATAATTTTAGCATTTGGGTTGGAATTTTGTAGTTTGCTCTGATCAGGTCGTTGTGGTTGCAGTTAGATGTAGATTCTTATGCAGAATTGAGCTGCTATTCTAGGGCTACCTAATCCGTTATATTTGTTGGATTAAGTATGAGATGTTATTGTTTTGCCTTTTACTTTTTTTTCCAGCATTTCCAGATATGGATGATACAGATAAGAGGGATTCCGAGAAGAAGCTTCACACACGGTTGAGGTTATGGCAATTCCCAGACAAGTATATCCTTGAGCCCATTGATGGTTTTGCTGATTCATATTTATCAATCAGTCGTGCTGATGGATCAATCAACTTAATAGGTATGTTCCTTATTTCTTTGTTCTGCTTATTCTCTTATTTATATTCCGGAAGATTGCTGAAATATTGTAGACATAAACTAAGGGCTTTCGCTTGAATAAGTTGTGAACCAACAATGTGAAGCCGAAATCACCATGAGAAGCAATTATGGTTGATCCTTATATGATTTACATAACATTTCTCTTTACCATAATAGAAAATGAACAGTGGATAGCAGACAGATTAAAAACTGCTAAAGGATAAGAGATCCATCAGAAAGAGAGGATAATTGAAGTAAAATAGAAGAGAGGACTGGAAATTCACAGGCAGCCTTTTCAGATACAACCTAGAATCAGAACCCAAAGGCTGTCTGATTTTGCCCTTTGAGTAAACAATTGATTCAACACTTTGTTAGTTTAGCTATTTAGGTGATGCCAATTATAGTTGCCATTCGAATAAAGGGCTAAACAGTTCCATCCTGAATAGCACAGAATGGGATATTTCATAACAGGCTTGAATGTATTAATTTGCGATTGGTACTCTCTACTTCATAACAGGCTTGAAGTAAAATAGAAGAGAGGACTGGAAATTCACAGGCAGCCTTGTCAGATACAACCTAGAATCAGAACCCAAAAGCTGTCTGATTTTGCCCTTTGAGTAAACAATTGATTCAACACTTTGTTAGTTTATCTATTTAGGTGATGCCAATTATAGTTGCCATTCGAATAAAGGGCTAAACAGTTCCATCCTGAATAGCACAGAATGGGATATTTCATAACAGGCTTGAATGTATTAATTTGGGAATTGGTACTCTCCACTTTCTAAGTAATTTAGTGTGTTATCGACTTCTTGTACCTGTTCCTTAGCTATTCAGGATGGAACACATAAAATGGCTTATGTAGGCATTTTATTTACTAAATATTTATTTTTTGTGACAATATGTCAAGCTAGCTATTCCCATCTGAAGTGCAATTAGATCCCTTCTTGTCTAAACTTATTACAATTGAATCAATTGTTTAAGTCTTTTACCGTTTAGTCCTCTCTATTTGTATAGGTGTTGAATACTCTCCTCTCTATTTGTCTGCCTATATAATTTTCATTAGGACAAAATGATCATAAGAGGTAAGGTTTGCGATATCGCCTGTTATCGTAAGGTACGAGCAGTATTTACTGGTCCCTCACTGGTATGCATACTAGGGTGAATCAGATTGTATGTCTAGTACAGGGGCCATACTGTCTGGTACGGGGTGTATACTGCCCAGTGTACTAACACTTTCTTTTTATTTTTATTTTAGTAATTTTCATTCTTTTTCTGAAACTTAGTCTGTACTGGTGTACCAACACTTGGTATGTTGGTACAGACTGGTACAGTACTGGTACATGAAATTGCGGACCTTGGTAAGAAATATCTATTAAAGATTGTTTTTTATTGATTGTCTCCTATCAAGCTGTAACTTTCTACAAATCAGAATTGAAGTTGCTTTATTTTATTATATATCTTGAAGCAATTTTCTTTACTATAATACTATTCTAGTTGACTTGTTCAATTTCTCTTGGGTATGAGTATTAAACTAGTTACTATGTTTAAGCTATTACACAAAAGGTTCATCTGGTTGTACTGTGAACAGGTGAGCTTCCGGAATGCAGCACTACACAATCTCCAAACATTCGTACCATTTTTGGTGTGATTGGAATTCTTAAGCTTTTATTAGGTATGTGCATTGCCATCACTGGCAATGACTATTTTCAATATGTTTTGTGTTTTCTTACTGTTATAATATTCTCTTTAACGTAGGTAGGTTGTCCAACCATTTCAGAACAATTGTAAACTTCAAATTTTAATGTTAGCTTCAGGAAGCCATGCAATTAGTGTTTTTAGTTTTTTCTGTTGCATGGTAATGAGCATTGCTTTAACTTGGAAGTAAGTCAAGTGCCACAAAGGTTTAAAATGTGCCTATGATTCCCAGGCTTTCTGTGTAGCATGTTTCACTTGGCCTTTTATGTGGCTCCAAATCCCTGAGTTTTGAGTAAATAATTGTTCCAAATAATTGCCTATGATTTGCAAGACTTCTTTACTACATAAAGAATGTTTTACTCTCTATTCTTCTGTTGCATGGTAATGAGCATTGTTTTAGTATCTATATAAAGCCATGCAATTAGTGTTTTTAGTTTTTGCTGTTGTGTGGTAATGAGCATTGTTTTTAACGTGGAAGTAAGTCAAGCGCTGCAAAGGTCTAAAATGTGCCTATGATTGCAAGGCTTTTCTGTGTAGCATGTTTCACTTGGCCTTTTATGTGGCTCCAAATACTTGAATTTTCAGTAAATAATTGTTCCAAGGACTGTTTCAGCATCAGGATCGACAGTATGACTTGCATATAGCCTTGGTTCATGCTATCTGATAGATCATCCATATGACTTGCATCATCAACTCTCTTTTTTGTGGCACTCACTATTTAACTTCAAATATGGATTATTTAGGCTTATGATTACCAAGTTTTATGCAAGGCTTGGTTTCGATAGTCATGCCATCACTACCATATTCAGTAATTGTTAATGTCATCCAAAGGCAAATTAGGCTAGCATAGTATCTGTTGCCGAACACCAGTAATTTTCCTGGTGGTTGCTTGACTGATTTGTGTCATGTCTTTTAGTTGGTGACTCATTGATAGGCATGTGGTTTGAAAAGCCTGCCTCTATTCAGATTGTTTTTTTGGACTTGTTGCATTGAATTGCTAACTGATTATTGGCTATTGACGTGGAACACAGTTGTAACTAATCCAAATCATGCCCGTTACTTGAGCATCAGTTGCTCATTTTCCATTTTTTTTATATTTTGTTTTCAACACGAGCTGCTCATAAATCTTTGAAGGACATCATGATCATGTAACAAGAGGAGGTGATAAAATTCATGATTCTGTGGAGTGTGGAAGTCCTCCTTTTTCATAGGAATTCTTTGGCTTGATCATGTCCTTCTTGCTGATTATATTCTCTTCATTCTGTCAAGAGTCAGTTTAGTGTTGATCACATGCTGCTTGCATATCTTTTTTTCTGCCTCATTCTGGCAGTTGCAAGTTTGGTCATATTTTGCTTGAAGGATTAACATAAATTAATTAGGATAACACTTTATTTTGGATTTATTTTGATAAATTCAGGCAGTTGTAAGTTTGGTCATATTCTGCTTGAAGGAGTAACATAAATTAATTAGGATAACGTTTTATTTTGGATTTATTTTGATAAATTCATCATCTCCTTTTTGCAGTGTTAAGTGCAGAAGTCAATTTTTTATATATTTCTAGCTGCTAACCTATTTACTTACAATTGCATGCTGCAGGAGCATATCTGTTGGTTATAACAGAGCGTGAATGTGTTGGATCTTACTTAGGGCATCCTATTTACAAGGTCTCAGGCATGCAAATTCTCCCATGCAATCATTCTCTCAAGAGTTCCTCAGCTGAGCAGGTTGGAAAGCATTATTAGTTTCTTTGATTTATTTAGACTATATATATTAACTTATGCATTCAGAATATATGTTGACAGAAAAAGATGGAAGCTCAGTTCTCTGAACTTCTAAATGCTGCAGAAGGGATTTCTGGTCTGTACTTCTCCTATGATGTTAATTTAACACTCTGGTGAGTTATTTTAATCTTATCCTTTTCGAATTGTTCTTCCATTTAAGCTGATAAAAAAGGTCCACCGGCCATGTGGTTGTCATGTTAATTTCTTCTATCTTGTTTCTACTTAAGAGCTGGTGTTTAATGCACACTTATTAATCACTTGATAAATCAATCTCCTGATTAGATGTGTTTTATTATGGTATTTCTGGTGACATTGAAAATAGAACATGTAAAACTATCTCACTTTGTAATTGAGTATACATGAGTGACATCTCTTCTATATTGATTTGTGTTTAACCCGGTTCAGACTTCAGAGTTATCTTGATTTTTTAAAATTTAGTTCTCTTCTATTCGTTTTAGTTTTTCATGTACTTGAAGTGGGATTTTTTTGGAGTTGGAAGTAATAAGAAAATGAGAAGCTTATTGTATCTCTTCCTAGTTTCTTCTCGTTCTTTATGTAACAATGAGAAAGTGAAGAGGCAGTTATGAAGCTAGGCTGGCCTTCCAAAGTTGTCTTTGGTTTCTTGAACTCCTTATACTTAACCATAAGTTATGGTGGTCATTATTGCACTCCTCAAACCTAGGTCCTCACCATAAACAAAGGCACGACTTAGGGCTTTAGGTTCTTGCTAATGTTGGGTTTAGAAAGAACCAATTGACACAATCTTACTCCTAGTAGTGGAGACGTTGTTTCGTGACTAGAACATTGGTTATCTGGGTCAAAATAGAGCCATCTTTCCGTGCAACAAGGCTTGTCTTCTTGCCTTAATCCTACATAGCCTAACCAAATAAATTTTGCTCCAATCATGTATGAAGAACCCAAGTTTGATATGATATTTGGCCTCACAACCGTTGAAGAAAAAAAATTCTTGTCTCCATGTGCTTATGCATCAATTTTGTTTTGATTTTAAATAGATGGTAGTAAATGTTTGGATGGTCTTATTTGTTTAAAGAACGACAGCAAGTTAAGTTGCTAGACAAAAGAGATAGATTCTATGGTATAGAGGAGATTGAAGCTAAAGTTACATTTTGGAGTGAGGAGGATAATCAATGTTAATTGATGTGAGGCGCTATATGATATAGACACTATTCTCTATATTGACTATTTATCCAATATCATATTACTAAAGGGATAAACACGACCCCACATTTGTTTGCCTTTTCTGTGTATTATGCTTTTTTCTGTGGTCATTCACTTGTTTATTAGGATGGATGGGCTATTGATGGTCGAAACACATTGATTGCTAATAATAAACTTGTCTGTAGTAAGGAGATCTTCCGAGACAACTGTCCATTTTCTTAAATGGTCTTTCGTATTTTGTGTTTCTTTTTCTTTGATCACCATGTGAAAGTAAGAGTGAGGAGTTACTGGGTTATGAGCCAATTGTTGGTTGACCATTTTTGTTGGTTGCAAGTTTTTTAAAACAATACAAGACACTAAAAATAGTCAAGATTGAATCTTATTAATTAGTATACTGGTACTAGTCTTAACTAGAACCGGTATGAGCTGACTAGTATATTCAAGGTTTGTATTTTCGTTTATTGGTACTGTACCGGTCAGGGATCGGACTGACGTCTTATCGGTCCATACCAGTATATTAACACCTGATATTACTAGTACCTACCAAGTTAAAAAAAAACACTTAAAGAAAAACCTTAGAAATAATAACTTAAAAGGACTGCAAAATAAAAAAAGAAATTGTCTGGTATAGAGCCTGTACCAACTTGAATCGAGCGGTACCAGCCCTCTACTAGGTAGCATTGACCTTGTATTGAGCATAGCAGGTGGTATCACCCGTTACAGATCCGTTGTGGCCATAAAGTCCAGATTACACTGTTGGTGTACCGATAACCTCTTGAGTGGATAAATACTGTCTGTACCGAATTGTACCAGGTGATTTTGCAAATCTAAGTAAATCTATTATAGTAAATTACTAAATTTAACTTTCCAAAATCCTGCAATTTAACCAATGAAGCTACACATGATCTTGATATAATATCTCCTGATGCAAGTCATAATTTATGTTGCAGCTTACAGAGGTTACATGAGCTAGGAAATGAGTCAAAGCTGCTTCCTCTTTGGAGACAGGTTTGGATTTTTGAATCCTGATAACAAGTTAATAACATTGCAATTTCAATGTTTTTAGATCATATAGTTTTACATTTAATTCATTCTTCAACCTTTAGTATATATTTTTCGATTTGGTTTAGTGCATAGTTGTTATTGCAGATTGATTTTCTTGCATTGGCAAAGATCATCTATAAGCTGTTTCCTATAAGAGTTGAATTGTACTAGAACTTTTCTATTTAACTTAATTAGCTTAAGGAATAAGGAATGAGTTTGAAGTATATTTCGTCTTATGTTCTGATTGAGAATGGATGCTTGTTGGTCGGTTAATCTATTAAAGTCCTGTAAACATATTCTAGGTTCGCCGAACAACGATGTATAGTCTGTCTGGTGCGGGTGTTATATATCGGTTCAATAAGGGATCGGTATGGGTGGTACATACCAGTCTATTGGTATGCCCCACTGTATCATATGTTGGTATGTTGATACGTTCCATACCAACAGTCGATTAATACACTTGTATAGACCGTTAAGGCAAACCATAAACATGTTTATCATATCCAGTGATTCTTTTTTGGTTTTTTAGTTTTGTGTTGTTCATCTTGATTCAACAGGAATAGGCCTTTCCTTCTTCCTATTGAGAGGGACCTCTACAATTCTCTCTTTGCCTAATCCTTTTTTCTCTTCTTTCCTTGTCTATTAGTCTTTTAGTTTCATCACCTTTTTTAGTTAGGCTCTGTAGACTCTGCTTTCTTGTCCCAAATAGAATACTAGATCTTGACAGTGGTACACATATCAACAACCAAAGAAGCTTCTCTTAATATCTCCATTCTACCCAGCCCGCAGGTCTACAAGCTATATTTAGGCAAGATCTGAACTGAAATTTGGCTTCCCTTTTTCTTGGAAAGGCCTGCTTGAAAAGTCCTAGGAAGACAAAGATCGATGTTCTTGAGTTTAGAGGCCAATTGAATTTCAGCAGTTTCCACGAATGGGTGTCAAACTGTGAATTTTTCATCAAGTGGTATGAACTGATGGAGCCCTGGAAGATTCAGTATGTCACTGCAAAACTGAGATTGTGAACTAAATCTGTGTCCTGCGTGCTACGGCAGTGTGTACCACTGATGTTGAACTGTGCCAGTAGACAGTAGACCATAAAATCCCATCCAAAAACTTTTTTTTTTGTTTTTAAGGTCCATGTTTGGCTTAAAGTCCAGGGATTGCTATACCGCCCGAAATGGTACGGTTTGGGCGGTACATACCGGTCCAAGCATGGACCAATACGTGGACCACCCCGATTTGGGTGGTCTACATTAGAATAATAAAAAAATCAAAAAGTGGTGGGCCCCAATCCATTTCAGCGTTAAAAAAAATGCATATTAGGGCTCTTCTCGCATACGAAGCCGCGGCACTGCCTCTTCACCGCTATGATGTTGCAGCAGCACTGCCTCTTTGCTGCTGCAGCAGCGCTACTACTTTGCTGATTCACCACTGCGATGCTGTAGCGGCATTGCCTATTCGTTGCTTTGCCACTGCGGTGCTACAACGCCACTGCCTCTTCGCCGCTTTGCCATTGCAATGCTGCAGCGGCACCACCTCTTTGCCGCTATGATGTTACTGCTTCCCTTCGATGCTGTCGCTACTGTTGCTACTTCCCAAGTATCATTGCACTTCTTCTCTTCCTTTTCTTTCTTCTTCTTCCTTTCTCCTTCTTTTTCCTCTGTTTGTCCATCGGACCTTCCTCTTCAACCTCTTTTTCTTCCTCGTCAAAACATCGGTATGTATCAGCATACTGTGTGTCGATACACTAGTACGAAGCGACACGTGCCGTGCCGTCAGCCGGCTGGCCGGCACATCTGCTCGGACTGGTAAGTCAAACCTTAGCTTAAACAGTCACATAATTGACCTGATTGACTTTTAAATCATGGGCTACTGCATCTTCAATGTGATCTTTTTTGTCCTCATGTGAGCAGCAGCAATGGATTAGGTGATAAATCCTTATGGTAACAGATTTATGTTTTATCATATCTGTCTAGTCTTCTGTATCTGTATTCTATGTTGCTTTCTATGCTGACAATTGCTTGTTCTAGGTAACTATCTATCATTAGAAACTTGATCCTATACAGTTCCTAGTTAGTGTTCTTTGTTGCAGAAGAGCAATGCTTTTATTTCTATCACTTACCGAATTTATCTTGCAGGCAGAACCTAGATTTCTTTGGAATAGCTACATGTTGGAAGCACTCATTGATAACAAAGTGAGATGTGATTCTCGACTACTTCAATGGTTTACCAAGGTCCTTTCAGGAATCCTATGTTAACGTGTTGACAATTTTTCTGCAGCTGGATTCATACATTCTACCTATCATTCAAGGATGTATCCTGATAAAGTTCTTTGCTTGGTCATCATTCCTTTAATTTTTACTGTATGCTTAAGGCAATCTTTTCAATATCCTTAACTGCTCATCAGGTTACCAAAATTTTCAAGCAGCTATTGGTCCAAAAGTTGTTAATGTTACTTTAATTGCGCGTAGATGCACGAGGAGAACAGGTTTATGTTGTTTATCAAAAAGTGCCACTGTTAATGGTCCATAGAATGGGATTTTCATTTGAACTGTATCAATTTGATACTAAAACATGATAATCATATCATTTATCTATCTTTAACTTTTTCCAATTTTTAGTACGTTTATCTTGCAATAAAATGATGTGCTGTTGAAACTATTCTTTGTTTGAAGGTACTCGGATGTGGAGAAGAGGAGCTGATACTGAGGGATACGTTGCAAATTTTGTTGAAAGTGAACAGATATTGCAATCAAATGGTTTTACAGCATCCTTTGTTCAAGTAGGTTGAGGTTTCTTTTTGTCTGAGCTGCTCTATTGTGAAATTGATTTGGCCAGTTAAATTCAAGGAGAATATGCTTGAGTACAGATAGATCGCTTTTAGAGATGGCCTTGCACTTCTCCCAGCATGCATTTATAGCTTATCTGAATTTGAATTGTTCAGCAATATCTTAAATTGTCTTGTGCTTTAATTTCTCTGTAAATCACAATGCAGAAGATGTGGATGCATATTTGTTTGTCTTTTGTAGTTGTCCATTTGACTTTCTGCAATTTATTATTGACAGTCTAAAGGCATGTTCATAGAGTGCTTAGATTTTCAATTTAAAGCAAGAAAAACAATCCACTATATACAAGGGAATTTCTCTTCCTAATGTAAGATAGGGTTTTGGATCATTAATGGTTTATTGGCCAAGAATCTTCCAAAAATAAGTCTTTTTGATTTGTGCCTAATCAATTGGCCGAATTCTTCATGGTGAGCATCGTGATTTTAACTATCTGATTACTGCATATGTCTAGTATGTCTATTTCTTTTTTGTTTGTTCTTTATCCTATATCTTTTGATAATCTTTTATCCTTTTAAAGATATGTATATTAAGTTGCATTTTGAAAGAACATTTAATTAAATTAAGTGCTTGTAGGTTCGTGGGTCTATGCCATTTCTGTGGGAGCAGATTGTTGACTTGACATATAAACCTAACTTTGAGATTGTTAGGCCTGAGGAGGCGGTAAGAACTGATACTTTCATTTTTCAGTTTGTTTTACATTTGGTGCTCTTAGATAATGCTATCATGTTATGCTGCTTCTAGAGTGCAGGCTGCACTAACTTCTGTATTTCTTTTTGTTTGACAGTCTCGTGTAGCCGAACGTCATTTCTTGGATCTGAGTAAAAAATATGGTTCAGTCTTAGCTGTTGACCTTGTCAATAAGGTGATTCCTACAACAACATAGTTATCCTATAATGTTATTGTTAATAAATCTTTTATTATAAATCTGCAAATGTAGTTTAAAGATAGGAAATTTTATCATGTGCACTTAAATGGTTTGCTTTTGTGGTTAAATATGACATTATGAGTTTATGACCTTCCTTTCTCTCAAAAGGTTTTTGTTAATTGTTATTATAGTAGTTTATTTTCAGGTTGAGCAAAATTTTCTTGATAGTGTTGCTTATGAAGTTTTAAATAATGGTCAGTCCGATATGTATTGATTGGTGTTTATATATCCAACCTGATACTGGTATTGAAATGTATTACTCGATAGTTGCATATTTGTTCATTTTATATTATCCTATCAAATAAAATTAGATGGTATGAATCAATATATTATCCAGTATACAGGTCTCGCATTTGTAGGATGCATTACCAAAATCGGTATCAGACCATCCTTCATTATAGCAGCTATATTTGGATCACATGTATCTAGCTTAGTGGTGGCCAAAATCCTCTTAGAAAAAAAATTGATTGTATAATGTTGAAGTATTGAAGAGTTTTGATGAATTGAACTAAAAAGATAATACAGCTAAAGGAACCAAGAAAATACTTGATTGGTTATGTGGTTGGCTTCCATCTTTTGTGGTATTGAATTGGTCAAGGGTTAGATTTCTGGTGGGATTGATCCAAGTCTCTCTGATCTCTGACAATGATAAGCTAAGCTAATGTTTCCCTGGAACACTTGGATCGCGACAAGTAAATGTTAATCACAAACAAAGGCAGTGATAAGCATTTATGATGTAGAAATAAAGTATTCTAAGCTAACACAAACACAGGTTGGATTTACATGATTAGTTATGGTAACAAACTTAAATGCTCAAATATAGAAGGTAAAGCTTTGGGTTGTGTGTGTCGTTTGTCCGTAGAAGATTAATGGTGTTCTTTGCTGAGCATTTAGAGACAATATAAGGAAATTGGAAGTTTCCATTTTAGGATCTAAATGGGAGTTTAAATTAGATTTTATTTTTAATCTTGTAATTGGAATTACTGCTTTAATTTATAGTCCATGCATGCAAAGATATGATGGGTTTGTGACAGTGCTTATTTAATAGTCAGTTTTGTGAATGTAATTGACTACAGAATTCGTTTTAGCATATATCTTCATTATATGTATTTTCTGAAATCTGAGTACTGTATAAATTTTGTCAATTCTTTCTTATTTTTGCACAATAATCAGCATGGAAGTGAGGGACGTCTGAGTGAAAGATTTGCAAAAGCAATGCAGACCATTCAAAATGATGATATTAGGTAATATGACATGCATAGGAAAACAATATTTTTGTTTTATTTCTTTAGCTCAAATCTGCTTCCTGTTCTAGGTACGTACATTTTGACTTCCATCAAATCTGTGGCCATATACATTTTGAGCGCCTCTCTCTCCTTTATAATCAAATCGAGGACTACCTGAATAAGCATGGGTATGCAGTTTGCCTTGCTATCTTCTGTTGATACATTAGTTAACCTATCGAGCTTGGTTTATTTGACGTTTATATAGATGAATCAACTTTGAATTGTTACATTTACTATGAACATGTGTATGAGATGTCTTTCTTTATAAACATACAGTAGCTAAATTATACGAATATCAATTTATCAACACCTGCACTGTTAGTTAACATTTGACAGGATTATCGTTTTATCTATTTATATGGATATAAATTATATGTGGCTTGATAGGATTCACAGTCAGGCTGTATCTTGCAAATTGCTTAAGCATACTTACACTGTGAGTTGAAAGTGAATCATCTTTTCTTTTCTTGTACTTTGTAACATAGTTGATTATTAAAGTAATTCTTTTAAAACTACTATAGTTATGAACTATTTGTAATTGCTTAAAATTGACTATTTTGAATAAATTAATAGTCACAGTTATTTCTTGCAACATAGCATAAGAAGTCTTTATTCTAATTTTAGTATAAAAATTGCAGCCATGGATCGATATGCACCCTTGGTATGAAATTGCAGTTCTTGCATGAAGATTTTTGAAACTAATGGACCTAGTGTCATTGTGAGCTTGATGAGGAAGTATGACAGGTTTTGTTCTCACTGTTAGGCTTGTGGTTTGGACTAATATAAGTCAAAATCAGCCATATAACCAGCTTCAATCCCATGATATATAGGCAAATCAATCTATTTAAATACTAATTATCCATCTTATTGTGAAAATTCTAGAAAGAAATAAGCTAATGAGTCATGTAGTGGAACTTTGAATTGAAGGTAGAATAAAATTTGAAACAACAATTTCTGGCAATCAGTTTTGTTTTATGCATGGATTATTAACCTTTAATGCCTTTTATCTCTTGAGAAAACTATCGGAATAACGTAGAGGGAAGAAGAGAGATTTGCATATACCTAGCTTAGAAAAAGACTACAGCGCCAAGAGATTTATAATGATAAGTTACAGAAAAGGTAAAAATATAGTAATTATATTGATGTAATTAGACATTTAGACTAGTCGGTTTAGTTGGACAAACAATGAATCAACTTTGAAATTGGCTCAATTTGATTAAAATATTAGATGTGACAGAAAGCAGGACTAGATCTGATTCTTTAATTAATCATTGCATTCAATTAGGTTAGAACAAACTAGTCAATTTTTTAAGACATGCAAAAACGATGGTAAATACAATTGAATTATAGTAGATACCATCAAATCAAATCCATACAAACTCAATCACTCCATCTTTCATTTGCTCCCTGTTTCTCATGTGCCTGTGGATGCTCAGTGCATTATGCCCACTTTGTTGACACCACCTAAAGGAGAAGCGGAGGAATAGGAGAAGGAAGAGGAGGATGAGAGGAAGAAGAAAGAGCAAAGGAAAGGGAAAATAAAAAGAAAATAACGAGAGGAGAATGGAGCAAAAGGTGAAACTGGGGAGAAGAGACTGAGACGAAGGGATGGGAGAAAGGAGCATGTCAAGGAGAAGGAAGAACAAAAAGAAAACAAACTATATGAAAAATAAAAAATAAAATCATGATAATTGTAAAAATAAAATATACAGTAGAATTTATGTAATGTGTGCGACTGATTTTTCCACCTATCAGACTATTGACCTAGTGAACCTACTTAAGTCAATGATCGGTTTGGTTCTGATAAGTATGGCGTATAATGCTTAAACTTAAGTTTGGCAACAGAATAAGTTATATGACATAATTAGAAACACCATATAATAAATTTGGGAGGCAGCAAGTCTATATGCCAAATTATTTTTCTCTGCTTCAACTTCAAACCTTTTTACCATAAGACCATTACACTTTTTCTTATATTATGGTATTTGTGGTACCATGCAGCACTACTTTTGGCTTCCAAATTTTTTCTTTCACATTTATGATCTATTTTTTCTTACAAAGGAAAAAATATGAGAAAGGCGAGAACTACTCTGATCTATTTTTTCACATTTATGGTAATCGTGGTACCATGCAGCACTACTATGGTGCTCACTTCAAGTGTACTTTTGGTAATATCTGAATGGTTAACCTTATTATTTATTGGTTTTTTAGATACTTTCTGTTGAATGAGAAAGGCGAGAAAGTTGCAGGTCAGACAGGAGTTGTGAGAACAAATTGTATTGACTGCTTAGATCGAACAAATGTTACACAGGTGAATGCTAATATTCTAGTGAGATTATTCTAATTGTATTATGGGCTCACGTGAGACCATTTTATTAGGCTGGATTTGTAAAAAAAGCAAAAGAATTGGTGTAAAGTCATCTCACTCATCTGTTGCATTCTGAATTTTTGTTGATATGGTGACAAAGTTTATAGTAAATTATTGGAATGATGAATGTGTTTTAGCTTTTGTCTTTGTAGTTAATCCATCTAAAGTCCATGCTTCTTTTACTTTGATAATAAATAATCTGTTGGAATTTATTTATCAGAAAATTAGTTGGAAATGAAACCCTAGTAACATCTATCAGTGGAACTGAAAAGAAAGAAACATCTATCGGTAGAAATGTCAAAAACTGAATTTCATTTGTATGAAGCAAGGTCTGCCGTACCGAAGCGTACCGCCCATACCGGGCGGTACATACCGGTCCAACAGGTTACCGGTACGCGGACCACCCGGTACCGCTACAGTATTACAGTGCTATACTGTAGCACTGCTACAGTATGAAAAAAATAAAAAATTATTCGGTACACCAGGGCGTACCGCTTGGTACGCCCTGATGTACTGCCTGGTACACCGATATCGTACCGTACCGAGCTCGGGTCGAAACGCCGGTACGGTACGATACAGCGAACCTTGGTATGAAGAGTTGAAGACATTAAATGATATCAGTAAGAGATCTCATCCTGCATTGATTCAAAAAATATACTCTTTGAATTAGAGAATAACTTTTCAATCTGTGTACAGCAGTCCAACTTCTATGTTGTATTAAATATTTAAATCAAGGTTCGCTGTACCGTACCATACCGGCGTTTCGACCCGGGCTTGGTACGGTACGGTACTGGTGTACCGGGCAGTATATCAGGGCGTACCGAGCTGACACGGACTT